GGGTTCAGGGGCCATCTTGGAGTCATTCTACCTCCAGAAACCTCCAGTACAGAGGGAGCTCTAGAAACAGAGACAAGTCCAGATTCAGGGTCTGCTGGTGGACTGGATCTAGTGTCTATAAAGATGAAAAGGATCAAGGAGAACAGTAAGGTTTGGGCCTGACAAGGGTGGGGAGTGAGGGATCAGGAGCTACTTCCGGACACCTTAAGTCTGAGATCCTTGAATGGACACATCAAGAGGACGGCTAGATAAATATATGAGTCTGGAGGTTGGGGAAAGGTCCATGCAGGAGAGATCCAACTGGGACTTCCCTGTTTAGGGGAGGTATTTAAAACCATGGTTACGAGTCAGGCTGATAACCTCAAGTCAGCAGTTCGAAACTACCAGTGGTTCCTTGGGAGAAAGATGAGGCTTTCTGTTCCTGTAAAGATTTAGGAGAGGCCATACAGGGTCTCTATGTGTTGGAAATGACTCCACGGCACACCAACACCTTCATTTAAAACCGTAGAAGAATTGAGGCATTTGAGTTATGGTGTGCTGGAGGAGAATACTGAAAGTGCCATGGGCTGCCAAAAGAACAAACAGCTCTGTGTTGGAAGAAGTACAGCCAGAGTGCTCCTTGGAGGCCAGGATGGCCAAACTTCGTCTCTCATACTTCGGACATATTGTCTGGAGGAACCAATCACTGGAGAGGGATATCATGTTTGGTGAAGTGGAGGGTCGGAGAAAAAGAGGAAGACCCCAAAGCGATGGATTGGCTCAGTGGCAGCAGTGATGAGCTCAGGCGTAGCAGCGATTGTGAGGTTGAGCCCAGGACTGGGCAGTGTTTCATTCTGTTGTGCATAGGGCCTCTATGAGTCGGTACCGACTTGGTAGCACCTCAGAACAACAACATTTAAAATCAGATCTATTCCCCCCGGGGAGTAGTAAGTAGGGATCAACAAGCGCAGAGGCCCAACACTGAGAGGTAGAGAGATGACACAGTAGAGGAGACATGAGGTGGGAGGAGACTCCTGAGACAGGAAAAGAGGAGAAGAAAATGTCACAAGAATCTGCTGAGAGGCCGAGGGAGCAGGGTGACATGGCGCTGGTCCTCTGCCAAGGTGACCCAGATTTCCAGGGACAGGTTGTCACTGTGTTAAGATATCAGATGGAGAAGAGTTTGAAGTGAGAAAAGCTGGGGGGAAATTCTTAGGGATATGGCAGTAGAACAAATCCAATCAAACATTATTTCTTTAACAACAACAACAACAAATGATGATCAAGAGCTGAGTGTGTACCATGACCCCGTCGTAGTGGGTCACTGAATGCTCACAATAGATGCATGACATAAATATGATTATCCTCAGTGAAGGATGAGAAGACTGATTCATAGACGAGATGAGTCATGGGCCATGGTCCCACAGCTGGCCAGCAAACACACTCAAACCCTGGTTGATGACCACCAGCCCTGGCACTCGGCCACAGTGAGCCAGTCTTCAGCTGGACGGAGCTGGCTTTGGGAGGGCCCCGCTGTGAGAAGTGGAGAAGGTGCGTGAGGAACCACAGACAGTGTTGTTCGGACTTCTCCCCTCTGCTAGGGTGCTCCGGGGCACTGGGAGACCTAGAACTCGACCCAGGGGCTTTGGAACTGGCCAGGCCGAGACTGGGACCCTCCAGCCTCACTGTAAAGTCTCCTTGACCTTCCCTGCCTGACTGCACCCCTAGACACCCTTCCTCTCCAGGTAGGAGGAGAACCAACAGGTGGGCCAGGGTACCAGAAGCTGAAAATGTGCGTTATTGCCTCGTTTTATCCAGAGTCTTCCAAGTGATAATCCTGAAACCAATGAAGCCCCCCAGCCCCAGTCCAAACATATCTTGTTTAATTGCACGTTATAAATTGAAGGCTGGTGACAACCGCGCATGGAGCCAACTCTATGGGTGCCATTGTTCCAACAGCCTGTGCTCACTTGGTGTCTCTGCATCCCATATTTGTCATTCTCACACTAGTTGAGACGGTTTGATCACGCGGCTGTGCATTTAAAGGACAACAGTGTAGTGTCAACAGAAAATCCGTGTGGCCCACTTGATTGCGGTATGTGCTGTGTTTAGGTGGTTTGGGACTATACCTGTACTATCTCCCAGGTCTGCTGGTATCTAGGGCATAGGAGGGGTTGGTACTGAACCAGCCCTCAGAAGCCAATTGCTGACCTTCCCTTCCAGTCTCTCAGTCCAAACTCCTATCTCCAGGTGTTTACAGCCATCAACTAGAAAACCACATGACCTTTCAGTTACCAGTCAGCACTCACTAGACTCTGGGCTTTGGGGTAGTCATTAGAGTGATTAGAAAATAATATAGGCCCTAACTTGAAAATGAAGTGTTTCCTAGAAGCTGACTTCAGAGCTATCTGTGTGGAGCAGGCTGGTTCTCCGTTAAGTAAGTATGGCATGCCTGGAATGAGCTCTCATCAGTTGAAAAGTGAACAGTCTTTCTCCCAAATGGTTCTTGCTGAAGCCGATAATGAGTTGTATCAAAGCATGCTATGAAGGCATGAAGGAAGTAAGATGAACGCATTGGCAGGGATTTTAGGCAATCAATCCCAACATTTTTTTTTTAATTGGAGTGAAAATATACACAATAAAACTTTCACCAATCCAACAATTTCCACATGTACAATTTGGTGACACTGATTCGATTCTTCACATTGTGCGATCTTTGTCACTATCCTTTTCAACTTTCCCCCCACCATAATCAAGCCAGACCTCTAGTTATTCAAGGGAAAACAAAACAAAACCTTCTCCCCCTAACAACACCTACTACTATGCATGAAAGGTGCTCTGGTAGCGTAGTGGTTACGAGTCGGGCTACTAATCTCACAATCAGCTGTTCCGCGGGAGAAAGATAAGGCTTTCTGCTCCCGTAAAGATTTACAGCCTCGGAAACTCTGTACAGGGTCGCTATGAGTCGGAACCGACTCCACAGCACATAACAACAACAACTATGCATGAAGGGTGTGAGGGCAGAGTCTGACCCCTCTGACTTCACAGGGGGTGAAAAGCATCAAACAACACCAGTCCAAGGCTGAGTTCTCTGAGGTGGTGGTCAGACCTGTCAGTTCTGACACCACCCACCCCTCCCCGGCATCCTCGGCTTCTCCCCTGGGATCTACAACTCACTGCAGCAGCCACACAGAACTCGCAGGTTTCCTTGTGAAGCTGACAGGCTCAGAGTGCTCAAACACAGTTCTCTGGTGTGGAATGCCTCTTCTCAGCTGGGCCCACAAGCACGCCTCTCTCTGGTCCTCGATCTCACAACCGCTCTACCCCTTGGCCTCTGCCCTGCTCGGGCAATGTTACAAAGGTCTTTTCGTGCTGCCTATAAAAGTCGTTTGAACCACAGGGTCGGTGTTTCAAAGCTCACCAGCCGCTCCTTGGAAACCCTATAAAGGGTCACTATGGGTTGGAACCGACTTGATGGCACTTAACAACAACAACAACAATAAATGCCCAAAAGGAGCTCTGGTAGTGTAGTGGTTACAAGTTGTGCTGCTAACCTGAAGGTCAGCAGTTCGAAACTATCAGCCACTGTCCGGGAGAAAGATGAAGCTTTCTGCTCCTGTAAAGATTTATAGCCTGGGAAATCCTATGCAGGGTCGCTATGAGTTGGAACTGATTCCATGGCACACCGCCGCCACATAAATGCCCAAAGGGCACTCCACTCCACCCTAAGCCTCATCGTAAATACACTCACCTCCAGCTCCATGGTCAGTGAACCTAGCTCTCCCAGTAAAGAGCCTGGAGGCTCCGCTCTGTAAGCGACCCTCTATATGCGGCTCCTTAGAAACCCTACACAGGGTCACTATGGGTTGGAACTGACTTGACGACACTCAGTAACAACAACCGTATATTAATGGGATCCACATGTTGACCTGGAATCTTAACTACATCAAGATATTTCCCATAAGAAAATCTCATGATATGCTACTGCTTTCTGCTTTTCTAAGAACCCAATGTTCTGTTATTTCTAGAACCTAATTCCCTATTGCTCCCTGAGATGATGAGCAATGTGCTACTTCTCTAGCAGAATTGATCACCGATTAAAGAACTGAACAGCAAATCCCTGAAATGCCCCTTTCCTTGCCTTGAAGATGTGAATTCTCTAGGAAGTCTACGTGAGATTCTTTGACTTCTCCAGGTTTGGCTGTTCGATACTCACTCCTCAGAGAGATCTTCCACCATCTGAAGATTATCTGCAATGGAACACAAGGGGATAGGAATCAAGAGTTACTCCAGTACCAAGGTTTGTGGTGTTGAAAAATAGCGGCGGTACGCACTCTGTATCCAACATCAGCTCTAGCTTTGCAATTGGCAGCTGTGATGCCTTGAATCTACTTGATGTGGCTTGTCTATCCAGTCTTCTTAATTCCCAAGTGATTGGGTGGGACTATGCAAAAAAGGTATAGAGGACTCTAAGACTAGGATTGGTTAGTTTGCTCTAAAGCTGGGTTTCAAAGGAACCATCTCAGAAGCAGAGACGGAAGATCCCAAGACCATCAACACAAAAGAGTATGAGTGACATGTGAGATCCCTCAGATGACAGCACAGGTGACGGCAGAGGCAGTGGTATGGAGAAAGAGCAGCTTCGGGCTCTAGACCCATGGACTGAGTGAAGCTGACTGCCTACGGGCAGGGGACTAGCTTGCAGAATGTGCCCTTTCGGCATTCACAGCCCGGCTAAGAGAACTTTGCAATACTTGCCAGAGCAGGGCAGAGGCCGAGGGACCACATGGCTGAGAGGCTGAAGACAGAGTGAGGCATGCCTGCAGTACAGCCTTCCTGACTGGAGAACTGCTGCATCCTGAGCTGGTTTTGATCCTGAATTGCACCCTGGTCACTTCCCTAATAAACCCCATCATCGTGACTATTGTTATAAGTTCTGTGTGGCCATTGCAATGGATTATGGAAACCCAGTGTGAAGCAGAGCATGCTGGGGAAGGAGAGATGGTTGGTGTCAGACAAGCGTAAAGAAGGTTGTAGGGTGGACGCATGTCTGACCTCTGCTTTCTAGCAATCAACCTTGGACTGAGTTTGAGTTTGAGCCTCTTCCCCCTTTGTGAACTCAGGGGAAGTCAGACATGGCTCCCACATGGTTTCTATAGCAACACATCAAACCAGAAAATAGGGTTGTGTATCACGGAACATTTTCCTTAGAGAATCTTGTTGTTAGATGCTGTTGAGACATTTTCAACAAATAGAACTGTCCCATAGAGTGTTCTTGGATATGATCTTTACAGAAGCAGGTCGCTAGAAAAAAGATGTGGAAAAAAATCTGTTCGCAACAGATTAGTTAGTAATGGAAAGGTTTGTAGTTTGAGCCCACCCAGTGGCTCTGCTGGATAAAGACCTTGTTATCTTCTCCTATAAAAAATTACACCCTAGAAAACTGTAAGGGACAGTTAGACTGTGTTACACGGAGTCACTACACGTTGACAATACTCAATGGCTCCCAATAACAACAACCTTGATATTAGCAGACGGCCAAGGCTTTCTCACCTGGAGCACTGTGGGGTTCTGAACCAACAACCTTTAGGTTAGCATAACTACCAAACCCACTGCCCTCACATTGAATCCGACTTGACCCGCAGGATTTCTGAGGTGGTCATCTTTACGGAAGCAGATTTCCACATCTCTCTCCTCTGGAGTGGCTGGTGGGTTCGAACCACTGACCTTTTGGTTCACAACTGAGTGTTTAACCAGTGCATGACCAGGGCCCCTTCCTGTAGAGATGGCCACCTAGAGAACCCTGTGGTGCATTTCTACTGTCACCTGGAGTTGCTGAGTCATAAACCAACCTACTGACACCTTCCAACCACCTAGAATTTACAGAGTAACTAGCTAGGCAGTTCATGTTCAGCAGGGCTGGGATTACCACTGGGCGGTCTGAATGCAACGGCCACGTTCTTTATTCCACATCCTCTAAAACCTTTAAAATGAACAGAGAAGGCAGAAGTCCATCGCACACAATGCAGGTGGTACAACGTTTCAAAGGAGCAATGTCAGAAGTGAAATGTCTCCTTCCCTATAACCTTTTCAACAAAATACCCAACCTGATGCCTTTGAGTTGACCTTGATTTATGGTGATCCGATGTGACAGAACACAGCTGCTCCACAGGGGTTTCTTGGCTGTCCTTTTTAGGGACGCATACCACCAGGCCTTGCTTCTGAGGTGCTTTCTTCCGATGGGCTCAGTATGCCATCCTTGAGGTTAGTGTTGCTAGTCCTGCTCTTGTTAAGTGCCACTGATTTGGTTGTGATTCATAACAACCCTGCAGAGCAGGAGCTTGTTGTTGTTGTTGTTAAGTGCCGTCGAGTCGGTTCCCACCCATAGCGACCCTGTACAGGGTTTCCGAGGGTGTAAATCTTTACAGGAGTAGAAAGCCTCATCTTTCTCCCGCGGAGCGGCTGGTAGTTTTGAACCACTGACCTTAAGGTTCGCAGCCTGATTCGTAACCACTACGCTACCAGAGCTCCTTTAGAGCAGGAGCAGGGAACCTTTTTTCTGCCAAAATCTGTAACATCACTTGCGAGCCATACAAAATTATCACCTTAAAACTTAACCTGCTTACTATAAGAACAAGCAAGTTGTTTCCAGGGAGCCATCAAGGCAAGCAATCAAGTCCCTTCAGGACAACCCCCTTCCAAGACTGAAACTCAAAGGGAACACACAAACAAGCATATAAGCTTGCTGGTGACCACACTGGTCAGCTGGTGAGTGGAAGAGGAGAAAAGACAGCAATGAAGATATGGGCTGAGCTTGACCATGTTCCACAGACTCTGGTTGACCTGGAGATGAGAGAGAGAAGAGGAAGGGCTGGTTGGTCCAAACTGTGGTGAGAGCTGGGGACACTTGAGCCCACGGACAAGGACATAGCCACAGAGGGCTAGAGCTGAGAGGGACACATCCAGCTGATATGAAGTGAGGGGAGATGCACAAGAACACCCAAACTTGCAGACAGTACCCATTTGACCTAGTCTTAATGGCTTGATAATCACAACTTGACTAGAGGAAGATTAAAAAAACAATTTTTGATAAAGGAAACAAGTGTAAGTTGCTACATACAATATGATGAACTTGACCTATACTTATGGATTTAGTTGCTCAAAATACCAACTGAGAGGGAAGGAGCCTTCATATCAAGTATCAATGCTATCCTCTCTGTATACAGGGGTGATAGTGATGGGCAACTTAGACACTGGCTACCTAAAATGGGGAGGGGGGCTATAAAGGCACAAAGTGACTGGCTTACAAGGTTTCAAGAGGGATTTTAGTTTCAGAGTGTGTGAGGAAAGATAGAGTCCCCACTGAATAGTTTTCATCTTGTCTAGATGGGTCTGGTGAAAAGAGATGGGGATAAAATTCTTATGATTCAATAGTGAGTTAATTGTTATCATGACTAATTAAAACTGTCACAACTATAAAGGTAGAAGTTTTGTAACAAAAAAGGGAGACTAGTTAATCTTACAGTCCAGAAGCAAAGGACCCTAGGACCATCAAGGGCAAAAGGCACGAGCGGAATGTGGGACCCTAACCAGAGAAGCAGCGACACCAGAGATGGAGGCAGAGATAAGGACATGGAGAGAGGGAGCAGCTGAGGACTCTAGATTCATGGAAAGAGAACAACTGAGTGCTGGTGGCCAGGAGGCAGGCTTGCAGAATGTGCCCTTTGGTTGTTTAAATGATTATATACTCCAGGATGTTTTTGTGTATATATCATCCCCTCCCAAAAAAAACACAACAGAGGGAATAGAAGCAAAAATACTGTTGAATGATGACACATGGAAGAGATTGTAGTCATAGCAATGAAATGATCAGAGTAAAACCGATGTTCTCCCATGTAAACTATCACTCAATTCACAATAAAAACTTAAAAAACAAACAAACTTAGCCTGCTATATTGGGTCAAACATTTAATTAACTCACCCCTAATGTGATAGTTTAATGAGCTGGACCACAAAGTCAGTTTGATCTGCAAGGTCGGTAGTGCAAGCTCACCAGCCATTCCTTGGAAACCTTATACAGGGTTGCTATGGGTTGAAACTGACTTGAGGGCACTTAACAACAACAGTGTGATGGCTGGAGTTGAGGTTGCCCTGGCAGGTACAGACCAAGTGATTTCATAGGCCTTAAACTGGAGTCCAAGGAGCTCTGGTAGCGTAGTGGTTACGAATCGGGCTGTGAGCCACAAGGTCAGCGGTTCGAAACTACCAGCTGTTCTGTGGGAGAAAGATGAGACTTTCTGCTCCCGTAAAGATTCCCAGCCTCAGAAACCCTGTACAGGGTCACTATGAGTCGGAACCAACTCCATGGCACATAACAACAACAACATACTGGAGTCCTGGTGTGGTGCTGTGGGTTCATGCGCCAGACTGCAAAGCTGTTTGAACTGCAAGGTCAGCGGTTCAAGCTCACCAGCTGCTCCTTGGAAACCCTATACAGGGTCGCTATGGGTCAGAACTGACTTAATGGCACCCAACAACAACAACATACAGGCCTTGGGCCAGACATTTCCCACCCCTACTGTATAGAGTTTCAGAGGAACAGCTGGTGAGTTCAAACTGAACTTGTGGTCCAGTGCTTATCTGATGGTGTCACACCAGGACTCCTTAGGTTTGTTGTTGCTGTGGTTGTTAAGTACCATCAAGTCGATTCTGACCCATAGTGGCCCTGTATAGGATTTCCTAGGAGTGGCTGGTAAACTTGAACTGCCAACTTTGCAGTTTAAACCAACTTTGCAGTCAGGCGCATTCGCCTGCAGCGCCACACCATGTTGAAAGCAAACGATGCCACAAAACACCTTTCTGGGAGGCTGTTGTGAGGTGTGTTAGTTCTGACTCAAAGCAACCCCATGTACAACAGAATGGAGCACTGCCCAGCCCTGCACCGTCCTCACAATCTTTGCTGTTTAAGCATTGCAACTGTTGCGTCAACCCATCTTGTTGGGGGTGGGGAGGGGGAAGGAGGCTTCCTCTTTTTGGCTGAACCTCCACTTTATCAAGCAAGATGTCCTTCTCCAGGGTCTGGTCCCTCCTGGTGACCTGTCCGAAGCCTAGGAGAGGAGGAGCTGTGTAGCATGAATTATATCACCATGAAGGTAAGTCTCTGGTTGTATTCTGCCACAAGAACATAATTTAACAAGCCGATACCAAGAGTCCACAAACTGAATCCAGGAGCCCAGTAGGGCCCTGTGCA